ACGCCTCAGCTCAGCGGGCCTAACTGCGAAGACCTTCAAGCATTCTCAGATGAGGACTTCGCAACCTACTCAAAGGTTGTGCTCAAGACCATTCCCACGACGGCCCAGCTCCGCTCATCCGATGCACTCCCATTCTTACCTTCCGGTTTCTTGTTTCTCCCCAGCCCCATACATCCTCCACCGATTGCTACAGTTCGCCTAGGTTTCCAGCAAACTCACATCGCTCAGTGGGCTGTGGAATACGAAGTAGTCTATGCAGGAATATAAGATAGAAGTATCCCCATAGTTACAAACTAGTAAATAAGAACAAAGACATTGGCCACTAAAAACAATATATGTTTGTTTGGGAAAAAAACTGTTTAATTTCACTACAATAATCTTCATCCCAAGCGAAAGGAGTTCAAAAAATGTTAAAATGAGGAAAATGTGGGAGTGTTAGGCCCATTGCCCAAGAAACATCTATAGTCCACCTTAATCATCATCCGAAGATGATGGAAAGCTTTGCGAAATATTTATGTTGATTTCGGAGTCCGCCTGCGGCGTTAAAATTAACGCTGGGGATTGCAACTTTTCCGAACTTGATTGGCTTTCGAACTACTGTCCACCTAGACTTCAGCCGTTCTAGATATCATTTATTTTTCAAAGAGGTCTCATTTGGTCTATTTTCCAGCGAGAGATAATCATATTTTAGACCTAATTTTTACGAACGACATAACTCCCCTTTTCGTTTATTGTAAACAGGACCTCTCCCAAAGTGACCACAGATTAGTCCTCTGCTGTCTTCCGTTTGTCTCTACGAAAAAGGCTAGCACCATTCGCACCTATCATGCTTTTGACCTTGCTGATGTCAACTTAATTACCAATTTTGTGGGCTCATTGCCCTGGCAGGATCTCTCCTCCACGAACAAGGTAACATTTCTCTGTGACTTTCTGTCGGCAGTTTCATATAGCATCTTGGAATATGTGCCAATAAGAAAATGCTAAGCCCTACTCTTCGGGCCCCTCCGTCCTCACTTTCTCTTGCCAAGACTAAAGAAATTAAAAATACAGTTGAAAGATCAATCTTCTAGTTTATTATCTGTGCACACAAAGAGAGATTTCCGAATTAACGTCTAAGATTCGTCTTCAATGTGATAAACACAGAGAATCTTTGCACTCAGTGAGTTAAACTCTGCAAAATCTGTTGCCCAACTGTTAAATCTTCGGTCCTCCGCTAAACGAGGTCATGAAATCCCCCATTAGTGAATGAAGATAAAACCTTTGTGCTCGATGAGTCCGACAACACCGAATTGTTTAATGCATTCTTTGCAAAGCATCTTACGACGGGATCTGAACCGGTCCCGTCGTTTCAGCCATGCTTATTCAATATTATCAGTACCATTGATTTCTCTGTAGAAGAAATTCGTAAGAACATCGTTCGTCTAAAAATACTTGCATTCCTCGAGAACTGACGATATTCCAAACTCAGTTATCAAGAGCGTTTCGAGCCTCCTCCGAGTTAAGTCATCTATTTTCAGCCTATCTTCTAAATGGGTTCTTTCGTGACTCACGGAAGACGTCTATTATTCTTCCAGTTTTCAAGTCAGGATATCTTGCGGATGTAACTTATTATCGAGGCGTTCACAAAACCCTGGCCCTAACAAAAATCCTCGAAAAAATATTTTAAATCAAATTCTCGTCTTTTGCATAAAAATAACCTATAAAGCTCCTCGCATTACGGTTTTCTACCTGGAAGCTCATGCTCAACTTGTCACTTGGCTTTACTTTACCTCGTCACTGCAGTTCGTAACGAGCATCAGTCAGTTGTTGTTATCTAGTTTTACCTTAGCAAAGCTTTTGTCAAGGTGCCGCACAGGCGTCTTATAGTGAAACAGGAAGCCCTCGGCATCCAGCTTCCTCTTCTTGATTTCATTGGTTCCTACCTGTCTAACCGCAGTCAGAAGGTCTTAGTAGGTAATAGCTACTCGACGCCTCAGCCGATCAGGAGGTGCGTTTTTAAAGGCATGGTTTTGGCTCTCCTCCCAGCCTTATACGCAAACTGTAGGGGATCAGAATATTTGGGGGGAAACGGCATAATGATGCCCAATGAAACTCGTTCTGTGTGTTTCAGCAGTGCAGAAGAACAGGCAATTGGATAAAAGGATTTTGGACCAGAGGAAGAGAATTGTTCGAGATGGGAGTGATTCTCATTGATCGCCGATCATCGGGAATCTTCGACCCCATGAAGAAAACGTTGATGAAGCGTGTCAATGCAGAAGCTAACTGAAAAGAGCAGGATTTCAGGAGAAACAAATACATCCCATCTGGCCCGGCAGCTGCTGAACCACGAACCTCTCTAAGGTGTTTCATCACTGTTTCCACAGACACAGGAGCAAAGACACTTGGTAATGAGAAAATAGCGTTTATCGGAAGATAGGTGTTTGTGGGAGTGTGGATGAAGTTTGCATTTAAATAGTCTAAGTCTACGTCAGCATCGATATGTGCTAGTGCATTGCGTTGACCGGTGAGACGCTTAAAACTCTTCCAAATTTCATCCGAGGAGAGGGGAAATAAACATGTAGAAGGAGTAAAAAGCTGACTAACGAAAAAGGTCATTCAACCTAGAAAACTCACGTTTTATTAGGACGTTCACATCCTTTAGTCTTTCACGCAGACCTAGTTTGTAGAACAGTTCCTTTTGACGTCTCAAAGTTTTTAGATAGGCAGAAGAAATTATGTCAGGTCTAACCATAACAGTGCCAAGTGGACAGAAAATAGTAAAACTTGCATTAAAAATTTTTTAAGGTAACTGGAGCATGACTCGACTTTCGAGTGTTCAAGAAGGGCAGGGAGATGTTCAGATATGACCTTATGGGGCAAACAAATATTATGTGGGGACGTATCGCGAACCCTAAGTTTCCTCTCGGGTTTTGCTAACAGTCCTCTCTTAGAACTGCACTAGATGGCTGGCAGGCCCAATAACACAGAATGATCTGAGCCTGACACCAGAGCTCTTTTTTCACAGCAAAA